TGGCTCAAAAAGTATGAATGGATCGGGATGATTTTTTTTAAATGGAACACCTTGTATATTATTGAATTTTTGGCTACCTTTCAGATCACTTTACATAATCCTAAGATATGAGTTGATAAACTCATGAGAAAAAAATGAGACGAAAAAATGAGACGAAATAATATAAAGTAAAATTTTTAATTTACATTAATTATTATAAGTTATTAGTAAAATTTAATAAAAATTTTACTTTATATTTCGACAGTTTCGGAGATCCTAAAATCAAAACTATATTAGGTACCTATCTACTTTAGATAGTCTATACTTACTTAGCTATAAATATCGTAATCTTAAATCATACAGGGTGTTCAAAATTCTACGCCAAACTTTCTAAAATATAAAATAATTTTTCTATGTCTTTTTAAATGAAACACCCTGTATATTATTTTTTATTAAATGGATAATTAAAATAATATCATTTTTTTCAGAGTATTTCAAAATTTTTAACAGTTTCGCATATACTCGCGGTATATTTCATATGGCTCTTTCAACGGTAAAATACGAGAGAAATCATTGTGTGGCTTTGACAAAAATTTACTGTAAGAGGTAAGGGTGGGGGAAAAGTAAGGGTGGAGGAAAAGGCAAGGGTAAGACGAAAAACAGACGATGTCACAAAACTGACTTTCGCAGAGAAAACTTTAAATTAAAAATTTAATGTTACCAAATATCATGTTGACCCGTATGAAAGTTAGAATAAATCACACATAAAAATTATTACGTTATCATTTGGACATCGTTTGTTATATTCAATTACAATTTAGGATGTGTTTGGGATAAGATATCCACAACAGATTAAGTTGATTACTTACAAATTCCTATAAAATGGATATCGTTATTTTCCCCCTACCTTTTATATTATGTATGTACATATATTTTTAATTTATCACAATTAATAAATATGTATTAATTGGCTGTTCCCGCCTCTGGTTTGTGGCCATTTTGCCGCAAATAAACTCATTGCTTGACGGATAGGCACGAAGAGTTTTGATAGGCAATTTCGTTGTACGAAAGACCTTGATCCTTCAATCGGTCGCCGTACGACCCGTTAGCGGAAAGTACCGCGGACGACGAGAGATCGAATTCGCAGGGAATCGCTAGTACCGGGAAGAAAAAAATTAGAATTTATAGTACCGATCTGGAGTACAGGGTGTCCCATTTTGGTTGAAATCATACGGTATCTCCGTTATTTGTGAAGATAGAAGGGTGCAGTTTGCACAAACCTGTGCCACTTTTTTGTCAAACGAAAGATGCCGTTAACAAAATTTTCATAGCTCTCTTCGTTTCTGAGCTACAGGGTCTTTTCGAAAATTTTGCAATTTGGGACAGCCCCCGTATCTCCGTTATTGTAGATGATATGGAGAAGATGAAAACTGATTCTTGTAGAACTTTTTATGTAGAATACAGTGGCGTAGTCTGTTTTTCTACGAAAAAAATATTTTTGAAAATATGAACTAAAGTTAGGTTTTTTCAAATGGAACACCCTGTATATTTATAAGTCGTATGATCCGCTTTGCTATGAGCTTCTCAAATATATATATCACTTGATATTTATTTTCAATATTTACTGCAATATTTAAAATATATCATTTATTAATAGTAGGCCGTGATAAATAACAAAATCAAAATGGTATTTACTAACATAGACATACACATATTAAAATTTTATTTGGGATTAATATATTTTACTTTTGAATTGTTACCACTGAACCTCTGAATATATTTTTCTCTTTTTTATAACGGAATTTATTATAATGGGATGGGTTTGCAAATATCTAAAAGCTTGCATTATTAAAGCATTTTCCAGGTGTTCGACATTGTATTAGTTGCCACGATATATTTCATATTTCAAAAATCCCTAAAATCAGAAATCGAGAACGGACAAATCCAGGAATCAGAGAGGTCATCATATTAGTTCCAATTCATTGATTTGAGAAATACTAATTTAGCAAATTTCTAATATTTTCGTTGTAAGTTAAGTTGTGAAGGGAAGCCCCATCTTGCTGAAACTATATTTCAGGTAAATTAGCTAAAGAGATATTTAAAAGTTCCAATAAGATACCTTCCAAGATTTACATATAGCGGTAGAGATTTAAGTTTCCCTAATATACAAAGAATTAATTAGTGGCTCTCAAAATAAAACAAGAGACAGATAGCAATATTACTTTTAATAATTCTTTCGTTTCTTTTATTATCAATCGTGGCCTACTAATAAAAATGATCTTTTAATATATTTTTTTAAATATTGCATTAAATAATAAAAATAAATATAGAGTGTTATATATTTTTGAGAAGCTTATGGCAAGTCCGATCATTTAATTCATAAATATACAGAGTGTTCCATTTAAGAAAACATAACTTTAGTTCATATCTTTAAAAATATTCTTTTCGTAGAACAACAGACTACGTCGCTGTATTCTATATGTAAAAAGTTCTACAATAAACAGTTTTCACCTTCTCGATAGATTTAACAGTAACAGAGATACAAGAGGTGTCCCAAATTGCAAAATTTTCAAAAAGACCCTGTAGCTCAGAAACAAAGAGAGCTATGAAAATTTTGTTTACGGCATCTTCCGTTTGACAAAAAAGTGGCACAGGTTTGTGCAAACCGCACCCTTCTATCTATACTAATAACGGAGATACCATATGATTTCAACTAAAATGGGATACCCTGTACTGTAAAGCTTGTCGCTCACTTGTTTGAAACGAAACGAACAGAAGTAAATTTCAGTTCGAATGAGTGTATAAAATATAAAGAAATTCGACTTAAAGAGATAAAAATACACAGTCAGATTTAGTGGGGTGCCTTAAGCCCTAAAAATGAAAAATGAAAAATAAAAAATGAAAATCAACGAAAAAAAAAGGGTAAACATTTTAGTATTTTATGTATAAAACACCATACAGAAGGTTTTTCTCATTAGTACATTCACAGTAATTGAATTCCGAGGTAAAACTCTCCGGGCACTCCACTAATTATCGAAACCAAATTACTTAAAAACAATTTTTGAGTTACAGGGTATTTCGAGTTAGGTGGTTAATGTTAAGTTCAAGATATAGAAGTTTTAGTGTAGTTGAAAAGATTTCCCTATATACTTTATATATTAATTCCCTATATACATTTAAGAATTTGAATATAATCTGCTCATAACTTCTTATGCCGAAAAATGAAAATTGCAATATTCTAAAAAAATGCTAACAAGATGGCGAACATTTTCCATAAGAAATTTAAGGGCAAGACTTTGATTTAATCAAAACCAACTACGTTAAAAATTTCTGTATTATATTGTTAGCTTATAATAATAATAAACAAGTTTATTAAATACATTTATTAAACATCGGGTTCGTCAAAGATAAAAGTAGCTTTTTGCTGGCTAGGCCAAGGTTAGGCGCCATTCTAAATTCTAACAATCATCTGACATTCTGACATAGACATAGACATATGTCAGTACCTCAGGGTTGTACATAACATGACATTTTTTTACATAACATAAATATGTACATAACATGAAAACTTTATTCTACAGTTTCAACTCCTTATTTTTGTTTAAAAAGTCTTAAACTTATTGAACTGACGACCTAATAATTAAAAATGATTGTTTTTGCACGATCTTTTTTATTCTTTAACATAAAAATACCTACGTACTTCATATCTTGCATTACACCCACGCCGTTATGTAATAAAAATATAATTACTCAAGTGGGATCCTTTCCGTTTCAACCTACAGAGGAGAAACCGAACTAAATATAAGTTTAAAACGGAGGAAATAAAATTTATAGCCATTAGAAATGATTAACTTATCTATATTAAATTAATAGTGTAATTTCGAATACGCTTTGTTGATTAACAACTCATAATTCACTTCATTCGCTCATTCGTTCATACAGGGTTCGGCAATAGTGCGTCGGGCTTCTGTAGCTCCTAGAATTAAAAACTTAGGAATTTTGTTTAAGTGGAAACCTAAACTGTGTACTAGGATGTATTTCTGGAAAATATTTTAACTTCTATAGAGTAGATCAAAAAACTGTGAGTGGATTGAGAGGATGTTTTAAAATGGAACACCCTGTATATTATTGCATTTTAATCCCAAGATATGAGTAAATGTATTTTGATAGTTTCATAGATATTAATACATAAATAAACAAATTATATTGTTTAGCCTTTCTTAAACAAATTAGGTGAGGGTGTTTAAAAAAACAAAAAAATATATTTTATATTTTAGAGAGTTTGGCATAGAATTTTGAAAATCCTGTATGATTTAAGAATACGATATTTATAGCAAAGGAGGTATAGACAGGGACGGTCACAGGAATTATTATTATTTTATTTTAGGGGGTGGCAAATAATAAGTAATGTAGGTAAAAAATAACTTAACCGAAAATCTTAATATCTAACCAAATCTATAGATTTTATGGGGGACTTGGGCCCCATGGGCCCACCCTTTGTATGCGCCACTGGGTATAGACCATCTAAAGTTAATACCTAATATAGTTTTGATTTCAGAACAGGTTCCTGTATTTTTAATAATTATTTTAATAGAGGCTGAAAAATCATTTTTTCTAATTTATTTATTAATATCTCTGAAATTGTTGAAACACTTTTACTCATATCTTAGGATTATGCCCAATCTACTCACACATTTTTGAGCAACCCTATAGAAGTTGAAATATTTTCCTGAAATACATCCTCGTACATATTTTACAAAACTCTCAAGTTTTTTATTCTAGCAGCTGCCCACTTCCTATTATTCTTCTAAGATGCCCGACGCTCTATTGCCGGACCCTGTATAAAATTTATTTTACATTTTTATATTTATTATTTTTTAATTATTTACTTATTACGTTATTTATATTATAAATAGTTTAAATAACATAATAATTAAATAATAAATACAAAGTTATCTTGTGTTTATTTTAATATCATATGTTAAAGTACATATTGTCCTAAAAAACATTATCATTTGCAGAGATCTCGACGGTTCTCCAAAAAGAAGAAACTATAAGACAATACGCCAAGAGACTCATCAAGAAACCATAAAAAGTAAGTAGACTCAAAACATGTTTGTTTTTTGCTCGCAACAATTAACAAATTGCTTGCTATCTCTAATTTATTTATTAGTTTCTTTTAATACTTATTAAATCTCCTAATAATACTAATTATGTGTGTATGCTGTTACGTTCTAGGATCAAGCATAACTTATTCATTAAATGAAACTATCGAAACTGTAAACAAGAAATTTTCAAGCAACGAAATTGGGGCCTTTAATAATCAATCTGCCGGATTTTTGAACGGAAAAGGTAAGAATAATTAAAGTTAATTTCATTATATTGTCTATACGGTATACAGTGTGGCGCCTCTCATACGATGTTGAGGCTCCAAGGAGAACGACAGTTTGTATTGAAATGAAATTTTGTGAATATATGTAGGTTAGTTTAGAGCATTTTTTAAAATTACAGTGTGTCCTAGAAAAAAGTTACGATTCAAAGTTGTGATTTTGTAATGGAACACCCTATATATTAATTGATTTTCGAATTCTACGAGGAAAATAAAGTCGAGTTTCATTAGAGAAGTAAATAAATAAATAAATAAATAAATAAATAACGTCTTTATTTTTTACTCGGCGAAATTCAGCAGAGCTGTTAAGTTAACCGAGCATATAAAAAAAGTAAATAATATAATACATTCTTAAAAAATAACATCCAAAAAAAAAAGAATTAGTAAGAAAAATGAAAATTAACAATATACTTTAGATAAAGAAAAATCAACAACTTAATAAGTTAAAGCAAAAACAGTAAAAAATGAAAATTGTTCCGTAAAGGATACAAGAATTAATAAATCAAATTATTGTGTAATTCTATATCCGCTCAACATATAAGTTTTTAATTTTGTTTTGAAAGTGAACGTCTTTAAATCAAGGGAGTATAGATTCAAGTTGGAATTGTACATCTTGGTTGCCAGGTAGGAGAAAGAACGCTGATATAGCGCCGTGCGATGTTTGGGAATTTCCATATTATTACACTGCCTTATAGCATAGTTAGAGTATCGAAATTTAAGTTTATTAGTTAAATACTCAGGAAAACCATTCCGCAAAATTCTGTGTAAAAAACATGCAAAATGTAACTTTTGTCTGTCTTCAATATTTAGCCAATTCAACATATCTAGTTTATATGTAACATGGTCTCTCGATCTTAATCCGTATATTAAGCGAATACATGAATTCTGTACTTTCTGTAACTGTCTCTTAGATTTTTGATCGAGACAAGGCCCGTAAACAAAATTACAATAATTGGACTGTGATAATACAAGAGCCTCACATAATTGCTTTTTTAATTTATAGTTTAGAAAATCTTTGTTTTTGTATAGGTTTCTTAAGGAGATGAACGATGCCCTGACCACTTTACTCACTTGAGATCTAAACCTCAACTGCGAGTCAAATATAAGTCCTAAATATTTTGATTCCCTTTCTACGGAGATAATCGAATCAGACATTTTTATTTTCATGTTCTGGGCCGCCCAGTTATTATTTGGTCCGAAGTAAACGATTACTGACTTTGTCGGATTTAGTTTTAACCCGTTCTTGCTGGAATAAGTGTATATTTTTTCTAAACACTGTTCAACCTTGTTCTGGGCTTCGTATGCTTCTGATTTTCTAAAACTTAAATGTAATTGGGTATCGTCGGCATATCTATGCATTTTGCAGTGGTTATCGTCCACTGCCATGTCCATGGTGTATATAATAAAAAGTAACGGACCGAGAATGGATCCCTGAGGAACGCCCTTAGTAGTAAACTTTGCCTCCGATTGATTACCATTAATCGAAACAAATTGGGACCTATCAACTAGATAGCTGTGAAAGAAATTAACAGCAGCCACAGAGAACCCGTAATACCTAAGTTTAGCACAAAGCAACATGTGGTCCAACGTGTCAAATGCCTTACTATAATCCAGCATTATCAAAGCAGAAGTTCGACCTTCATCAGCTGCAGATATAATGTCGTCAAGCACACTTAATAACACAGAAGCTGCGCTATATCCCTTTCGAAAGCCTGACTGAGTGGGCGGTATAAGGTTCGAATCGTTCAGATAACTAACAAGTTGTATGTATATCGTCTTTTCAAATATCTTTGACAAGGTAGGTAAAAGGCTTATGGGTCTTAAATCTGAAAAACTACCAGGATTATTTATTTTAGGAATAGGCGTTACAGTAGCTACCTTCCATTGAGTCGGATAAACTCTGGAAGTTATACATTCATTAAATATGTGGGCTAGAAAAGGAATAATCACTGGAGAGCACAACTTAATCATTTGTAGGGATAACCCATCAAAGCCACAAGAATTTGATTTTAAATTAGATATAGCATTCAACACATCAACTTCCAGTATAGTTCTAAATTGAAAAACATGATTCGAGCCCCGGCCATTTTCGTATTTTTTTACTATGTCAGAATCGACAGTCAGTGCTAGCTTATTAATGGAGTCCAGAAAGAAGTCATTAATAGAATTTGGATTACATAAATGCTTGGGAAGAGTTCTGCTGGTTTTAGCCTTACGGTAAATATTCATACCGTTCAGACTTTTCCACAGAACTCTTCTATCAGTCGACTTACAAATATACTCCAGGTACGACCTTTTCTCATTTCGAACGGCTTGGGTGAAAATATTTCTCATATTTTTATAAGCTGCCCAGTCACATTCCTTTCTTGTTTTTTTGTACTTAGACATCAGTTTATTACGTTCTTTCTTCATAATCCTTAAGACATCAGTAAACCATGGAGCCTTTTGCTTGGTAATCCGTACAGTGCACAGCGGCGCATGGCGGTCAAACAATTGTCTTACTTTATCAGTAAGCAGCGTTACTTTATTTTCCACATTCGGTTCCTCAAGAACATCATACCAATGAGTGTTTATAAGATCCGCGTGGAACATTTCACTATCAAAATATTTAAAGTTTCTGTATTTAATAATTTTAGGCGCTTCTCGAGGAGCAATACAATTCAAAGTGCAGAAAGTGAGCTGATGATCGGTCTCTTCATGCATATCATGATGTAATACCTTTCCAACAATTAATCTGTCATTAGATGTAATAATATAATCAATAAGACTATTCTGATTATTTACAATTCGTGTGGGTTCTGCGGTTAATTGTTTAAGTGAGAAAGATGTGAGAAAATCGTTAATCGAAATTGTAGCATTATTATAGTTTAAAAGATTCACATTCATATCGCCCAAAATAAAAATTTCATCGGACATAGGAATAATTGTTGCCAATGCAGTCTCAATATGCTGCAATGCGTCAACTAAATTACTTTTAGGTGGCCTGTAAAATACACCTAAACCTATCTCAATATTATTAACTTTTATTACTAACCACAACTGTTCAATGCTTTCTGAATTCTCAATATCTATTTTTCTGCTCACTATATTATTCTTAATATAAATACCAACTCCACCCCCTCGAGTTTCTCGATCATTTCTAAAAAAATTGTATCCGTCTATTTCTATGCTATTACCAGAAATTCGCTCTGAAAGCCAGGTCTCCGTAACTCCCAATATGTCCAACTCCAACCTATGAACAGAATCACTCACGCTATCCAGACTAGGCAACAGTGAGCGAATATTTACATGACCCAACTTAAGATTCTTTGTTGAAATATTTGCAGTAGCCATTGTGAATAATAAAAATAACAACAAAAATAAAGTAGTAAATCATAATGAAAAAACAAATATAGAAAACAAATATAGAAAACGTAAACAACTAAAAATAAAAATATGTATACATATATGTGCAAGCCCAACCGATTACAAATTTTCCAAAGAATTACACAGATCGTTCAACATGGTCTCATTTTTTATAACAATGACTTCATCATCGTCTCTTCTTCGCACCATCACTTTACAATTGCGATGCCATACATATTTATATCCACGAGTTTTAAGTCCTTTTGCCTTTTTGAATAGATGATATGTTTCCCTAGTTAATTCCTCGTCGATGAAAATGGGTTGGTCGGATTCGCCCAAGCCAAGTTTTCTGTGTGAGATTCTTCCTCGCTCTGCACGTGCTTTTAAAATGTTATTCTTCAAATCCGCATTCACCAGGGTGACACTAACCTTAGGGCCATTTGGAGTATCATAAAGCCTAACACTTTCGAGATTTTCTTCTTTCACTGGCACACTTAATGAAGTAAAAAGTTTTATTAATTCCACTGGCGCAGATTTCTTATCTTTTACGTTACCAGACAGACCAGAAATGCATAAATTGTTTTTAATATTATTTGCGTACTGTTTATTAAGAGCATTTTCCAGTTTCAGCACTTTAGCCTTCAACACTTGATTGTCTTTTGAAATTTCCGAGAACATTTCGGATATAATCTGATTACGGTTTCTTTCTTCCTCGTATTTTTCGTTTAAGAAATCCATCGATGTTTTAATTTCCCTCAGCTCAGTGCGCAGCTCGCCGATAAGCGACTTCAATTCATAAATATCTCCACCGTTCCCGCTGCTTCCACTCCGAGTCAGACGTTGCGATTCTTGATAAATAGAGCTTCTTCGGCTTAGGCAACTCTCACATGTCCAAGGGGTTGAATTAGTTTGCATCAGTCTCGCGTCTAGTTCTGATACTCCCCCGCAGCCCAAGTGAAAGTAGCATTCACAGCGACCGCATTGTAATTTAATCTTTTTGCCAATACTCTTTAGACATTTCTTACATATTTTATTAACCATTTTCAATAGTTCGTATATTATTACTTTAAACTTCCAGAAAAATAATTAGCAACGGCAACGTTGCAGATATCTTCACTGATCAACCGTACTATCAAAGGTTCAAAGTTCAATACAGGTGGACCATATATTAGTTTTTCGTGAATATTGCATGCTAGTGAATTAAATGTGTTTCAAAAAAACTCACCTACATACGGGTGAGGTTTCTGCCAGTTACCTCGACAATTTCAACAATTTAAATCACGGATAAGGCTACGAAACTTCAAATTTTCAGGAGATAAACAAAATAACCAACTAAACACCAATGCCACAACGTTGCCAATGGATATTTATCTAGTTTTAAAACTAACCAGCTATTTTGCAGACTAAACGCGCTATTGTTCTGAAAAATACGTATATATTTGCAAATATTGTAAACTAGCTGCTGAGTATAACAGCTATTTTGAAAGAATGGTGATATTCCTTCAAAATAAAGAGCATTTAGTTAGTTTGCAAAATTGTTAGCTTAGCGGAAGAGTTTCAAAGTTGATAAGTACACAACCATAATAATCATTTTAGTTTAAATATAGACATATTGTCATTTCGTGAACTGGACTGGACCACAAGAAA